ATTAGCCTCTCGAAAATCTTGCTGATGTGCGAGAGGAGGCTGATCGGACGATATGTAAATTAGTTCCATGTTTTTAAAAAATTATCTCTTAAAGTATTATTATTCGTGCAATTACATTTAATGGGACTTAAAATCACTTAAACACTATTTTATATAGGTAGTTAATTTCTTTCTTTTTTTTTTCCAACTTAATTATCATTATATATGTGTGAAAAGAAAGTTATCGGACTGAAGCCCTTCCCCCAAAAGAATTAAATCTTGGATCCGCTAGTGCAAGGGAATAGTCGGAGCTACAAGATTGCCATGCTTTATTTTATTATTCTATCAAGTTTTATTTTGGGCTTCTGCCATCTATATCGTGCTTCTTTATTTTTAATTTCATTCACCCACCTTTTAAGAGATCTTCCGATCCATCTTTTGTGTTATTAGGGAGTCCAGGGTATAACTTTGAGCGACCATCTACTATCATTTCTTCTGTACTCCTCATCTCCATTTATTGTGTTGGATTGCGTATTTTATCAGAGTTCTTTTCTTTACTGCTTCATTCCTCTTTAGTTGTTGATGTTTTTCCTTTACTCCAGCCGTATTCCTTTTTATTGCATTCTACCATAGCAAAGCACAGGAATTCAACACAACTGTTGAAAAAAAAATTTCCATTATATTTGAAAATTTCCTTTAATAATATGTTTTAAACTCCAGTAGTTCTTCCAAGTTAAAGCTGTTCTTCTTTGCAATTCTAGTCTTGCCTTCTTTTTAATGATATTCGCTGCCTTTAATGTATATTAGTTAGTCTCTTCTCCGCCTACCATAAGTTGTTTTATAAATACATTTCACATAATTTTTGATTTATTGAGATTTATGGCTAAACCACCTTACCATCTTAATTTTTTAAATCCCATCACATGTTTTACATTTCTTACTCACTTTTCCGGTAAACTGTGTCCAGAACCACATCTAAAATTTGTTTGTATGAATATTTATTCTCTATTTGAATTCCATAAATAAGTAAAAAGAAAAACTTGAAAACTGGTTTGGTGTGAAAATTGGATTAAAACAAATCCAAATAAGCTATTTTATCCTTCATCATAAGTCAGTCCTGAATTGTCTTGCTTAATATTTTGACAGCCATACCGCAAAAATATTTAAATACATGCATGAAATATGTATTATGATATAAATAATGTATTGATTGTAAATAGAAAAATATATTTTCTGGCCATTTCGTATTAAAATTAATTTGAAGTTGATAGCCTTAACGACTGGAACCATGTTGAAGAGTGCATTATTGGGTTTTAAGAGGAGCTTTGGATGGTAGTGCCGTCATTTTATGAGAAATGAACGACCATAAAGCGGGTTGCCTTGGTGGGCCATTTATTGTCCGCTGATGGCGAGCGATCAGACACGTTCTTCTTCTAAAGAGGTCCTGGATATCGGAATTTTGCAAGGGCCTTATGCATCAGAATTTCGGTAATAATCCTAAAACTAGCTAGAAATTTCATTAAAACAATTTTCATACCCTTATTAAATTAAAAAATCTGGCATGATGGGTACAACTTTCTGTTACCACATTGTTTAAATAATTAAATTTCTGTTCGAATATGCCTAGATGTTATATGCTAGGATTACACATGTGTTTTAGGTAAACTCAAGTCGAAGTTAAATGGCCATGGAAATTTGGAAGCTTTAAATAACTACGTTTTATTTTTTTTCGCTAGCCTAATTTTATATAAAACCTATGTTATAAAACCTAAAATATTATTATTAGATCAAAAAATTGGTCAAAAATTAACTTTAAATGCTTCATTTGTATTTTTTTTGTTAAGGCACCTTTTTTCAACTTAAACTTTTTATTTATGATATCTATACCAAGAGACATTTCTATCGAAAACAGAAACGGCTTATCCCACCCAAAACCACCTCTAACTCATTTTTGCATTTTTCTGGATTAGTTCCCTTCTACTATAATATACGCAGATTAATAAAAAATCATTTAAATCTATCACTGAGGCTATATTTTCAAATCTGGATTTATTAAAAGTTATAAAGATTTCGACGATATGCAATGACAGCATCTTTACTCCATTTTGATAAGTTTTACATAGGGAATAAACTAAGTGCTTAAAAAAATGTGTCAAGTGAGACAGATATAATTTTCCCCCCCTTATTTCCGGTGTTCCAACGTGTGATACCTCTTCAGGTCAGAGCAGAGCTCCACACATAGATATAATTTCTATTATATTTAAACAATTTAAATTAAACAATTATTAAATTTAAACGTACATTTAAACAATATTACTCCATTCTTGGAACTCTATATACAAAGAAATGTTTGAAAATACATAGATATCTCTAATCTATAAATAATTAAAGATACAATTTCTATTATATTTAATTATTTATAGATTAGAGATATCTATGTATTTTCAAACATTTCTTTGTATATAGAGCTCCAAGAATGGAGTAATATTGTTTAAATGTACGGATGTTCGGAGATTTTAATTACCTACAGTTGATGTTTTTCCATCCGTAGACACTTCATATTTTCAGCGATACTTCTTCATCTCTTTTTTTTCACATAAGAACGATAAAATAGCTCTTGAAAAATTCTATAATGATTGGATGCATTAAATACTTTTGGTTCATCCAGCTTATAAGTTACCATTTAATTTGAAAATTTCATTCATTTTTTACGGAATGATTTTCCGTTAAGTAATATCAGCTTTCAGAGATTGACATATCTTTTTCGTTACTTTCAACGATTGTATATGTTACATTTTTATTTTATCTAAAATATTTAATGATGTAGAGATGGTTGACCGTGGATATGATATGAGAAGGAATTAGTTGAGGGTGCGGTCAAATAAATAAAAAAAAATTAAAATATATAAATAATTTTAATTTTTGCCGACGTTTCGACCCACTTTGCAGGTCGTCTTCAGGATACATTGCATTACGTCTTTTTTTGACACTGCTAACTAGAGTTTTTTTGACACTGCCAGTGTTTCAACTGCCTCCCGCAGTACCACAAATTACGGTATGTTTTGACTTTTATTGTGATTCTTTTCTTAACACACCTATCCTTCAACTATACACCCTATTATTATCTTCATTCAGCCTACCATTCCATTACCTCTTTCAAAAAACTAAATGTCAATTGTCATCTATATATAGTACAACCTGTTTTTTTGTTTCTTTATCATCATAACCTTGTTTTTACATTTATTCTTATATTTTAAAGTATTCTTTTAAAATTATTGTTTTCTTATAGAGTTATTTATACTTAATAATCTATCCCAACAATATTACACTAATGTTACCCTATTAATCTTTCAATTTCTTCACTTCTTAACCTTTAGTCCCGTTATCTGTTTATTTACAATTAAAGGTAACCTCCACTTGCTTGTTATCCACTGATATCTTATTATTATGTTATCTTTTCCATATTTTAGCTTTACTGTAACAATAGTTATTCAATTTTCAATCTATTTATTCGTTAACATTCATTTATTCGTTAACATTCATGTATTTATTTTCTTTTATCTATTTCCTTATCATGTATTTATTTTCTTTATATTTTATTTCTGTATCAGACAACTTCTTCGTATTTTATATATACTTATGTTTATTTTATTTTTTCAACATGTTTGTATCTTTTGTAGCCCTGAAGACGACCTGCAAAGTGGGTCGAAACGTCGGCAAAAATTAAAATTATTTATATATTTTAATTTTTTTTATTTATTTGACCGCACCCTCAACTAATTCCTTCTCCTAAAATATTTAACTTTTCTACGTTGATTATAATTATAAATTACAAGTCTTATTTCCGATAATTTGTTTTCAGCGTGTTAAAATTTTTCTCCTTTTGTTAATCATTAAAGTCTCATCTCGTCAGTTTTCCTTGTTTCTCGATATTTCTTCTAGCATTCATTTTTTTCGCAAAGCCGGTCTTTGACAGAAACGATCACTAATTTTCATTGTTGATGTACTACTCAGTGATCTACACTATATATAATATGGATTTTATAGAATGAGATATCAAACGTGGACATCAAGAACTATACCTTGGCTTTTAAATGTCTAAAATATACTGTCATTCTTGCTGAAAGCCTCTTAGATGCTATGAAATACTTATTGCTTGTTAAAAAAAAAAAGAGTGACAAAGATGGATAGAATTAGGAACGAAGTCTTTAGGGACAGGATGGTGGCTCCAATGTCCGTCAACCAGAGAACAGGATGGCGAAGCCTAATGTGGTAGGGCCATGCAAGATGAATGTCTACCAAGCGATGACCTAACCGATTTCTTGATTGGCAAACGCCAGGAACACGGAGGCGAGGACGACCCAGAAAAAGGTGGATAGGTAAAGTGGAAGAGGAGATGGCTTAACCACAACCTCTTGAGCTCATGCCTTACATGAAAAGGCTATCCTCGTCGGAATGTCAAAATAAAAAACAAATTAAAAATCTATTAAAAAAGTAAATGGAGGAGAATAATTCTAAGATCGCTTGGTTACTTTGAATAATATAGAAATAAAAGTGTTGCTATTTTTATTATCAATAATCGCAATAATATAATTTTTCCACTTTGTGTGTGAGATTTTGCATTAAACAAATAGGTCTTGAGTACTGGTTTATTATAAGTTCAAAGAAGTGTCTTATTGGTTAACTATGAACTTGAGGGATATTTTCTAATGGGACAATCTAATCACTTGCTAAATTGTTATTTTAACAGTGGTGATAAAGAAAAAAGCTTCATCAATTATGTGAACGGACTATCCAGATAATATTATTTTGTGTATACAAATAAATGTTTTTCGCTGATGGCTAATGAGACAGATGCATCCGGGAGTAAGATAACTATCTGATTGGAGAGTTCTAGCTGACATATACTAGTCATTCATGTTTTAATTTTCATATTATTATAATATAATTATTAATTAAATAGTTTTTAAAAGTAATGAATGTTGTTATTTTTTGTGTTGACTTTGCTTCTTTTTTAACAGAAGGAATGCCCAAAGAAGACAGAGAGACGACAGAGCTTGAAGAAGATCGAGATCTCCCCTGACTTCTCTACATTGCTGGCCAGGAACAGAGACCGACCGCTCGTCTCTTCTTTGCCACCTCCACCTCTGCCTGAGCTACCAGTAGTTGATGAAGATGCCATTCTTAGGGATGCCCTTTCCAGTGAGAGTAGCCTCAACTCATGTACGTCTTCAGCTTCTTCGGTGAGCACTATATCCTTGTTAACACCTATTTCTCTAAGGATTAGCAACTTTTATGTATAATAACAAGAAGTCTTTTTAATTGTCATATTTATTCAGTAACTTTCATTCAACATTGCACTCTCTGTTCAACAAGTTATTTCCATCCATTTTAATCTCTGTAATTTTTTTCGCATTGTTCATGTTTGTATTTTGACTAATTTTCTTAATCCATATTCCATGTGGAATATTATTGTATATGGTCATCTAATATATATTTTGCTACTGTTAGTACAAAAGGTCATATGTAACAATTTTACATGTTTATTTGCTTTGCTCTAAATGTGTCTGCAACTGATATAAGTAGTCTGCTAAATAGCAAAATTGCGGAGGGAAATAAAATATGAAATTATACTAATAAATCATAAAGAAATATACAATTTTTATGCTCTTCTGTAAAAAAAATTAATTTTTATATACAACCTTTTGCACTAATAGCAGTGTTATATAATAATTGTTTTTTTATTGGTAATAGAGATATTTTAAATCTTTGGCTGCTTACCCAGCCTTTCTTGTTCTATTTTTTTCTTATTTGATACAAACAGCTTTGTAGCATCTTTCCTTATTCTATCTATACAGCAGGTTTTTAGCCTCTTACGAGACCCCTTGCCTACTACTGAACCATTCATTGTGTAGAGGCTTCCAAATGGTTTGCTTTGAGCTATATGTCTTTCTTATTAACCTTCTCATCTTCATATCATGAATGGGATATTGATTGATCAGTGCATGGATGCTTTATTGATCCATCTCCTCTAATTATCACTCAAATCCTATATGGGTGGTCAAGTTGGAAATTATACCTGTTCAAGACAGGTGCTTTTAAAAAAAAAATTAATGGGAACCTTGTAATGTCATATGGCAATATGAAATAATACACATTTAGAAGTCATCTTTTGAATCGCAGTGGTGGATAAGTTATTTTTGTTATAAATCCAATTAGCAGCTTATTCACAGTTGGTACTGATAGACTATAAATGTGCTCACTGTTATTTTCCTTTGCTAGTTCCATGAGTTGATAATATTTGAGGAATATCGCCCTTGTTAAAATATTACTAAAAAAAATGTTAAGAATCAAATGGACTGAATGGATACTTTTAAATAGTAGATTAAAATTAAGGGAAAAAATGTAATAAAAAATAATCATCTATTAAACACAAAGTTTAAAGATGTTTCCTCTCTAATTTACTTAATTTAATGCACATAGGTTATATCAGAAGTTGCTGCTCCATCATTGAATGACGATGAACAGAACTCCCTTACAGAAATTCCCCTCTCAGGTGGCATTAACCCTAGGGATTATCGACAGATAACTAGAGATCCAAAGAAAGAAGAGAAACAGCGAGACGAAAAGGAACGCCTGTTTCGCTTATTTGACCAGCTTCTGTCAGAGATATACACAGCAGAGGAGATGTCAAGGGTGTCAAGGAGAAGGAGCGATAATTTATTATATACAGGTATTCGGCTCTAATTTATAATATATTATGAATATAAGAAATGTAATTTTTATAAATCAATAATAACATCCTCTCGTGCAATATTTACTTTTCTTGAACCAAAAATACACATTAATAGATACTAGTCTATCTATTTTTAGTTTGTATAGTTAACTTTGATTATAAACAGGCAAATCTATAGGAGAGGGCAGCCAGATGCTTAAGGGAGCCTGACCCACAAGGTTTAATTTTTAAACTTTCAATTTTACATTAAAATGAAGCATAGATAACCTTAAAAAAGTATATAATAATTATGTAATATATTTACATAATATTTTTGTTGCATTCTTTACAAAAGATCTCGGTTGTGTTTTAGAGGGAAATTTAAAACTTGAAAAAGGCCCAGAAAGATTATCTCTGGATCTCTTGGGCTCCTTTCACGGCTCTGATTATAAATTAAGTATTTACTATTCTTTAATTTTAGAAAATATGAAATACTTCAATAAGGATAAATTTACCCATCTAAAAAAAAGTATGTGAACTTATCAGTTTAAATCACAGAAGTGATTTAAAAAAAAAAATATATAACAGAAAAAAATCAGTGCACTATTATATGAAATAGTTCTATATTTTACCTACATTTAGTAATACAGGAATGTAGATTGCTGAATATTACACTTTTATCAATGTCTCCTCCCAACCTATTAATACCCCTACAATAAAGGGTTAGGGAAGAAGTAAAAATTCTAAAGTGTGATCCACATAACTAATAAAATAAAAAAATATAGTTTTAATATGGTAGCCTGTATCAAACCCTGGCATATTACTTAACTAGGTCATAAGACATGTTACCTAAGAGAATAAAAATTTTTATTTTGATCATAGTACATGTCTAGAGCTAGTGCCTATTTATTTACTTTTTTCATTTATTCACATCGGGTGTCCCCCTTTTCCTTATCACAGGTTCTATCATGCTTTAATTTACTATAATACGATGATTCTTTTGGAATTCTTAATTGCAGAATTCTTCATATTAACTATATTTTTTTCCAATTTTTCTAGTTATGAAAGTAAGAAAATAAACAGTATCTATCATTCAGATTAACCTTAATGTTCTGCCTTCCAATTGATCATCACTATGAAGGATGATAAACATTCAGGACCCAGTCATTATACAAATTTTATTAGTGCCGACGTTTCAACGTAAGTCACTTACCCATCAAAGTGTCAGTACTTGGATACCTCCTGTGCTCGAAACACGCCCTGATGACCCCCATGTTTGGGTTGAAACATCACCAATAAAATCTTTATAATAACTGCGTCCTGAATATTTATCACCCGAGGATATGTTGATCAGTCGACTAACTTCCTTCAATGATCATCACTCTGACTTTAGTTACCATAGTTACCATATTTAAATTCCAAAATATTTATCTGTGTTTATTATTCCTTTTTGACCATTGAATTAACAATATTGTAGGACGTTCGGGAAACAAGGTTGAACGATACCATTCTCACTGTGGCTTCTTGGAAAGATATAGAGTGGAAGAAGAACCTTTGCGGTATAGCGTGGAGCTTCTGCAAAAAAAATGTAAGTAATTTAGAAATGAAGTGTTGAAGTATTACTACTTTTGTTGCTATTATTTCACAAATCATCACAAATAGTTTAAATATAATGTAGTTATTATATTTTGCAGTAATGAATTATTATATTAGAAATAAAGTTCCAGGCCTGACATTTTCAAATTTAGAAATGATTTCTGTGATAAACTCAAATCTTATCTAAAACATATTATTCTCTTTAATCTCTATTCTCTAACTAAATTATCTTCCTCACTACAATGCCTTGATTAAAATGCACCTAAGATTTCATTCCTTAAGGACTCAGTATATTGTTGTATCCTTTCTCTGATAAGAATGCTTTGAGTATGAAGATCTGCTAGTTGAACGGCATGCAAGAATTCAATAATCAATGACCCATTTACAAATAAATTATCTATAAGTCATGTGTCTAATGAGTAGCTTTATCTAATGATGACCAGATTTTCAATAGCATTATCTTCTTGGAAACACTGTATTTCACTTTTTGAGATAAAATTTTTTTTTTTTTTTAAATTTAGCAACTGAAAAATTAAAGGTTATTAAATTAAATTATTATTAATTAAATTATTATTATTATTAAATTAAAGGTATCACTAAATTTGTAAATTTTTGTTATTAATAAGTTTTAAGCATTTATAATAAAGCATTAATTAATTGTTCTCCCCTTAGCTGGTTTTTAGAAGCTGTGGTGGTTTCTGGATTCTTTAATAACCAGTGTTGAAAATTATGATATTTTTGAATATCATTAAATCAATTATTTACTATAGACAATGAATTTACAATTTTATTAGTCATTAGTTAAATTTTAGGGTCTATGGAAAGTAGTCGAGCCTGATATTTATATCATCCATTAGTTATAAGATCTTGGTATAATTTTATTCAAATAGATTAAATTCATGTGTACTGAAGGTAGGTGACCTGATTGTTATTTAAAATAGTTCATATTTCTGATTGAAGGTTACTTATGCAAGAAAAACTTGTTTACTTATATAAGTACTGAGATTTGAACAATTGCATGGGAGGCCAAAGTGAGGCAACTGCTCCCTCATCCAATGTGGAAAAAAAAATATAGTAACAAAAATAAGCAACCAATTACTGAAAAAATGATTAAATCCGAACGGTTGATTGTTAGCATTTTAACATTTTGAACAAATTAATTAAGAAATAAAAACTACTTTCCAGTAATTGTCCCTCTCATCTCTATTGGTCGTGATATGTTATTATGAGAACTGTATTGTTCACATATGTAAGAGTTTAATCAGGCAGTGAGTACTGCAGGGTCCCTATGAGTTAGCAACTAAGCAATGCTTTGAAAAGTGACAACTACTGTAATCTTAAATCATTTTTTGATAGTCAAGGTAGATAACCATGGCATAGTCAAGCAGCGCATTTACCTCAGCAAAAATTTTATCAACTAATGGTTTATTTGATAATCTATAATTAGCAATATCAATGAAGATAATTAATAAGATAGTATATGTATCTTGAAACAAGGAATAGGCTCCATAAAGGGTGTTTCACACTGAGTTTTCGCACATAATTCATAAAGGAACCCTACAATGTAATTGTGTTCTTCACTGAAACACCTAACAAGACAAGATGCAATGTAGAACACAAACACTTTATGGTCATTTTATTTGTGTTTTAATACATTTTTAATATCGATAGACGGGCCACCTATAGACCTCGTTATCGTAATGGAGCACTCTCATTATTATCATTATAAGTAAAATCCTATCTGTCAGAACAATAAAACTTGCCATTACTAAACTGATGTTAAACCAGGGGGTATTAATTGTTCAGATATTCTTTCTCCCTCTTTCTCCTAAAAGTTTATCGGCAGTTATGTTCATATTTTTTCACTTTCACTTATCCGTATGAAATATAGAGTATGGGAAATATCCGGAAATATTCGGGTCCGGGTTTAAAATGGAAATGTTTAAAGGTCTCCTGGATTCAAATAACAAAGACTCGCATGAAATTCAGTATTATGTGAACAGTCTAGTTCAAGATTAAAAAGACGTACGGAACTTAAATTACGTATTTAACATATGTATCACGATAACTTTTTTGTATAAATCGAAAGTTCCTGGTTCTAAATACCATCGATTTTACACATTTTATTGTTTTCTCGAAAACGAGTTGATGATTTTAGTCGAACTCGTTCTGTGTCTAATAAGGTTTTATGTTTTGAAATTATGATTTGTCACATCTCCATGAATTTCTCTTACGTTTGATAACCCATATATTAAAATTCATCCCTCCTGAAAGCCGGAAAAGGGATTTGCAATACCGTATTATATATATTGTAGATTGCCTTAAAATAAAAATTTTAATTGACAAAGTGGGTTGATAAGTAAGTGAACGTTGTTAGTAGAATCGCAACAGATTTTTAATTATTAACGTTATCAATAGTCTCGCGTTATATAAACAATGCAAATTATGGCAATATCATTGAACTATTTCTCGGTAATTTATTTCAATAGGACGCCAACAATAACTGCCTTTCATTAGTCCCCGTCAGGCGGCCATGACATCCATACTCTTTCATACAGAAGAAAAGTGATCCGCTAGGTGGGCGGTATCTCGTCTCAATGGCAGCTGCGTGGGTGCCTGTGAAAAAGGACGTTTCCAGCAAAACAGCAAGCTCTCTTACATGGCACGGGATAATGATCTTGCATACGTTGCGGTATCAGTTTTCGAACCCTCTTATCCACGATTATCGGGATAGTCAAGATAAGGATAAGATTCCCTATTGTTTCTAGGTCAAGGTAGACAAGCATCGGTTCTAGGCCAAGTTTAAACCTCTGCAAGTCATTTCGGTTTTTTTTTTATGTTTCAATCCTTCAGCTTCAGGGAGGATTTTCATTAAAAATATGTAGAAAGCACATAAGCAAGAATTGTTACAATTAGATTATAATAATATAAATTAAATAACATAAACCAATACATTTTTAAAAGCAGAGAAAAATAGTATAAATATAAAATTTAAATAAACTAAATAACAGATATTTAACAAATGGAAAACAAAATTAAAAAAGTAAAATAAAAGAACGACTGTTTAACAAATTTCTATTTATTTGTTCAATAACATATCATTCTGTCCCTTGGTCAATCATTACATAGAGGTAAGATCATGTTCACACTATACCTACAAAAAGAAAAAGAAAATAAACAGAATCAAAATAACAATCAAAGAGTATTTATTGGTTTGGAAAATGAGTCCTTTCGGTTTTTCGGTGTGAAATAAAACTCAATGTACAATAGACATAAAATTTATTTTAATCAACAATATATTGACCATTATTTAATACGACTTTTTTCCATCTTTCCTCTAACTGCATAATGCCATGTTCATAGAATCTCTGGAGTTTATTGTTAACGAATCCAACTGATTTTTGATGTCCTCTTTCTTTTGGAATCTCTTTCCATTCATGGCGTTCTACAGAGACCTGAATAAGTGGTAGTCACTTGGAGCTAGGTATGGTGAATAGGGAGGGTGGGGCAAAAGATCCCATCCAAAGCTCAATAATTTCTGCGAGTGACAAATGAAGTGTGGGGCCTAGCACTGTCTTGGTGGAACACAACACCCTTCCGATCATTCATAACTCCTCAGGGTGTTCTTCAAATTTGATGTTACCATATCCGTTGGGAAGCTGAATTATTGCTCATCAAAGCCGAATGAATATTTTTTTGATTTGATGCCTACATAATCAATAAACAAAAACTTCTTATAGGTCTTTATTTTTTATCTCAATTTGTAGTTTGTTTACGAAGATCCTGATGATGTCAATTTTTGTAGTTTATGTGGCCCCTAATTTATTGTAGATAGCTAAAGTCGTATTGAAGTTATAATTTTTTTTTTTATGATTTTCGAAAAAAAAATCATGTGAAGGACCCAAACATTAAGCCTAGAAACATAGTCGAGCTTGTGCAAATGGTTTTATACGCTTGTGTGCGACACATTTAGGGCACAGAAATCTCTAGCACATATTGGGTGGAATTTAATCAACAATTGCGTTAACATTGATGTGAAAATTTCCTGAGTGAAATTTGGCAAACCAATTTTGATAAGTGCGTTCGGTTCAGGAACCATTCCCATAAACACTGCAAATTTTTCTATGAGCTTCTGCAGCACGCTTACCTTTTTTAAAATGATACAACAAAATATGCCGATAATGAATGATATTTTCTTCCATATTCAAAGTGCAATAGCAATCACAATACTAAGCTGGTTTCAACAAGAGTTAACGGATATAGTTGTTGACATATTACAAACAGGATAAATAATCCATCTTAGGGATTAATTCATCAGTTAAGAAGTGTATCATAGTGACATAAAAATGGACAGAAAAACCGAAAGGACTTATTTGCTAACCCAATACAAAATAACAAATAAAACTTAAAGATAAGTAAATAAAAAAAACAACACAAACATACTTATATACACTATTTACAATCAGTCGAGGGAACTCCAAGGCAGGCTTCTCCCTGCAACTATGGAGTGAGCTTTATTATAGGAGATCTCTGTGCTACTCTCTCAACTGCTTCAGTGGTAATAAAGCCAGTGGAGATTGATCGAGAGCGCTTTAGCCACATACACTGATTTCTCAAGTGGAGAATCTGGTCATAGCCAGATCTCTAATTTATACAATCTACGAATATATAAAATCTACAAACTGTCCTTCTAACCTTCTTGGAAGATAGGTGGGTCTAGTTATAGATCACAAGCGGATCTATGGGAGAAGGGTCCCCCTCCAAAATAGTAAAACATGGCCATGTCTTATGACTTATTGTTCGTGTAATTACATTTAAAGGGACTTTACGAATCACTTAAACACCATTTAATTAAAGTTGCTCTCTGTATATATTTATACAGTTTATACTTTCGCGATATAGTTATGATGTTTCGAATATTTATGATATGTTTTATAAAAAAAAAAAATAATAGGTGTATACTATGGTTTTATATACTAACATAATATTTCC